GCGGGGGCGGCGGTGGCGGGGGGCGCTGGCAGCCGCAGGGGCAAGGCCGAGGCGGGGAACTGCAAGCCCGGCGGCAAGGTGCGTCTGGAGTACGATGCCCACTGGCGCTGGGTGCAGTCCCAGGATGACGTCACCTTCTTGTAGTGCTGGCCGGCTCTGGCCTCGGGGGCAAGTCCCCGGCCCCGGGGGACCCCGCCAAGGCACCGGATGTGGGAGCGGAGGGGCTGCGAGGGCGGCGGGGCCGCAGCTTGGCCACGTCCACGCTTCTGGGAGCCGAGGCGTGTCGGGCGGGATTTCGTGGCTCTGTGCAACCCCACTGCTGGTTCTTCCCCCAATGTGGATGGTAGCTTTGTGGGGCCTCAGTTTCCCCGTCTGCAGCCCAGGGCTGAGTTTCCCCGTCTCCCAAGCGAGAGGGAGCCCGTCTGCCCTTTCCTGTGGTGATTTAAGTGCCCATCACGTGCTCGGTCCGGGGCGGACGCAGCACTTTGAATCCCCCCCGCGCTCCCTCAGCACGACCCTTGCACGGGCATGGTTATGATGTCATGGGCCCAGCAGTGCGACCTCATAAGTCCGAGAGAGGAAGTTAGCTGTGCTAGTGTGACGTCGGGCCTCTCTCCTGCCCCCCCAACTCTGTCCCTCCTTGCACTTTAAGCCCGTGCTGGCTCTCGTGGCCTGGGCTGCTGCAACTCGCTTGGCAGCGACGACTCCAGAAAGGGTCTCCGGATGCCAAGTCCTTCCTCGGGCACCCCCGGGGCCAGGTACGCTCCGCTGTCACCGCTTGGCTTCTCCTCTGGCTCGGCTGCATGCTGCTGGTGCATTGCCTATGACCAGAAGCAAACTGGACCGGGGCCTGCGAAAGGCCGACGGACCTCTCCCTTGTAGCCGTGCAAGCCCAGGCTCTTGGAGGAAGAGCAGCGATGCTGCTGTCCATCCTCCCGACTCGCTGCCCCTTGCAAGCAGCACGGCTCGTTTCTCCCGCACCCAGCCCAGCGCCTCGGCGCTACTGCCCACGGTTGAGGCCGAACGTGGCTGCTGTGTTGTTACGGATGTTGTGGCACCTTCCCGGGATGTGCTGGCTGCGGGGTCGCGGTGCTGGTAACGAGCTACTGTCCACGGGATCCTCTTGGGGAATAAACCCTTGTGTTCCTAACGGCGGTGTGGAGATAGTGGGCTTGTTCAGCATCACCCTCCTCGCAACCTTGCAAGGAGATTTGGGGCGAGGGGGTAGGAGTCTGCAGCCTGGCGGGGGCTTCAGGGGTCTTGTAGCAATAGTCAGAGGTGATGCTGGTGCTGGTTGGTGTCCTGAGGCTGGGATGCAGTGGCCTGCAGTTTAGAGGCCACAGTTGCGAAAGCCAGACTGCCCCGGGCTGGAGCATTTCTGCAGGATGCAAACCCAGGTCCAGCCTCATGCAGCCGGAGATGCGGGGGGAGCTGGGAATGGCTCTCATGACCTCGCAGGGAGGGAAGCAGGGGTCCCTCGAGGCCTGCGTCCGGCGGCGGCCTGCGTCCTGCGGCTGAGATGGGAAGGGAGCCCCACGCTTCCCCCGTCCCTTTGCTGCTTCCAGCTGCAGCGAGGCATGGGAATAGGGAGAGAAGAGCTGACCGCAGCGTATAGCAGGAAGCAGCTGGCCTTTCTCCAGCATACCTGGCATGGCTGGAATAGCTTCGGAGGCAAAGGGAGGGGGACCCACTGGGAACAAGGAAGGGAGTGAGGGGGAAATGCAGGCAGTGACTAATAGCAGCAAGGGGGAGAGGCAGCTGGACCAAAGTGGGGGGAGGTCTGTGTGGATGCAACCCCCCCACCCCCAGCACGGTCCTCACCAGGCGTGGAGGGAGAGGGGAGTTTGCCCTCGGCCTTGCCAGCAGAGGACAGAGGTTGGGGGGTGAGATAAACCAGGCCCTCTCCCTGCACCCAGCGAAGGCAAAATGCCCTAAATACGTTAGGGAAATGCCTCTGGAGCAGTGGCCAAGGCGGAGGCGGGCACAAGGCACCATTGTCCGGGGGCCGGTGCGTGTGCATGCATGCGTGTGCATGCGTGCACCCTCAGCCGCTGCACAGAAGCGCCCTTGTCTCTGGCTAATGGGATGAGCGGGGATTGAATGGACGTCGCGGAGGCTGGAATGTCAATCCCCGTCGCCCCCGGCCCCGCAGGCGGCTGGTCCTTGGCAGAGGCCGAGGTCCCGTGCCCTGCATTCAACGCACCCCTCCCCGGTGCCCAGTCAGCTGCCTCGAGCGCCAGCCGGCGCCGGAAGAACGGGCCGATTGTTCCTTATTCAAGCCTTTTGTGTCCTCCTCTGCCACCCCCTCCCTGTCCCATGCAGCCAGGGCATCTCCGCTGCAGTCTGCGGCAGCAGCCGGCGGCCCAGCCCTGCCAGCTGTGGCGGCCTGTGGCGCAAGCCCTGCAGGGCTGAGCCTGGACAGGGATGCTCGCCAGTTCCCATGACTCATTGGAGCTGGCTTCGAGCCTCCCCGGGTGCAAAGGAGGCCTGCCCGCATCGGGGCAGCTCGCAGCATGGTGCCCACAGGAGTCAGCAGTGGTGAGAGCCAGGCACCAAGGCAGTGCCCGCCCATGGGGGCATGGTGCCCAGGGTGGGGGTCGATGTGGGGGAATCGGGAGTGCAGGAAGGTAGCACGGGGTCCCGCTCCACATTCAAATGAAAGCTGCGTAGAAACCCGCGATAAAGGTGTCGCCCCTTTTCAAGCACTGACTTTGTAGCCCGTTGGCTCTTTTTGTAGCTGGACAGCCATTTTTATGGCACGATAATTACTTTGCGCACGTGGGTGGTCGAAATGTATTGCACGACTGACCAGTGAATTGCACAATATACGTAACGTGTGCCAGGCGGTGCAGAGCCTCCCCGTTTCCCCTTCTCCTTGCACAACACCCAGTGCTGACGGGATGAGCGCCAAGGCCTCTCCTTATCTGTCTTCCCCAGGCAAAGGCAATCCAAGGACTCTCAAACAGCAAAGCGCAGCCAACACGCCCTATAGCCCAGGCCTCTGCTTGATCCAGAGACTTGCTAACACCATGTCGCGCCCAGCTTAGCTCTGTCAGGGGACACCGTGGCCAAGGTTTGCATGTTGTCTGCCCCTGGGGCTGGGGTCTTGGTGCCAGAGGAGGGTCAGCTCCAGCTCTCCGGGGAGCGCGTCGCCCCTGCTCAGCACAGCTGATGTTGCAGGAACGGGGGCTTTATTAGCCGTGGCTGAAAATGCCCCACTGCCATTCGTGCCCACATTCTGGCCCCTTCTTTGGGGTGCTGTCGCTCACAGCCCATCCAGCTGCCCTTGGGATGGGAAGGGGTGTTCACAAGCAACAATTCCCCCCAAATCCCCCCTGCAGCTCTCAGGGAGGGGGCATCCACCTCATCCCTTTGGCGGGCACTGGTCCTCAGCTCCCCTTTGTCTGCCGTAGGGCATCCTTGTAATGGGGGAGATCACGTCCGGGCTCCAGTCCTGGTTCTGTCTCCACCGTGGGTTGCACAGGACCCCGAGGCCGGTGCTTCCAAGGCAGGGTCGTTCCTCAGATCCGGCGCAAGCATCTTCCTTGGGAAGTCGGTCAGTCCTTCCTGCTGCATGGCCTGCCATCGATCCCGAGGGGACAGGCAGCTCCAGGCACCCCTCTGCTCGCATCGCCAGTGGGCATTTGGGGTTGGGAGCTGGATAGATGTACCAGCACCGCATCCCGCCTGGGCTCGTTCTCTCACTCAGATGCTTCAAGACCCTTCAGGAGCCCCCCACAATCACCCCATGTGGATTAAGGACTGACCCCAAGCGAGACAGGAGGTGCCCTGGGTCCGTCTCTCTGCAGGCCCAGCCTGGAGGGAAATCCAGCACGGATCCCCTTGAATCGATGGGCTGATGTTTGACAGCTGTCCCCCCCTCTCCACCTCTAGCCCAGGCCTGATGCACTGAGACCTTCCCCAGCTCCGTCTCCCATGGTCGTCTTCACACAGGCTCACGCCGCCCCTGCCCTCCTGACCGTCCCGGGAGCTCGGAGATAGTTTTACAGCCTGGTCCCGGATTCCCCCTCCATGAGCTCACCAGCACTCATTGCATCTCATCAAGGACCTGTCACCCCTCCCCATCCCTGTCGGCTTATGGAAAGCCTTTTTATAGCAGGGCGCCGTCCGCAAGACCCCAGTGCAGGCCGCTGGCAATGGTGCAAGATGACTTCATAGTGCACAGCTGCGAGATTTTCGGGACGGGGCTTCTTAATCAAGGCCAACCGCTCCCTCTTGACAGGGTTTGGGTGCAGTCATCCGTGCTGCCCGCCTCATGTTGGCTCTGTCAGCGGGGCTACGAGTTAGGGACCCCCAGACCTCAGAGCATCCTCGATAGCAACTCCGACTCCCTGTGGGCTGGCAGGGAGTAAGCTTTGCAATAAGACCTGGGTGCAAGGGCTTTTTGGGGGTTTTTTTGTCGATGACTAGGAAATCCACTGCAAAAATGGAGTGTTTTTTTTACGGGGGGCTTGGGGCTGGGATTTGAAACAAATCACAAATGGGACAGGTTGGGCTGACTATATGGAGGGACACTTCAGACAGCCCTGAAATAATGCCTTTCGAAGAGCCCCTGGTCTTTTTTGAAAGCCTTCCAACATTTCTTTGTGGGGTTTTTGGTTAAAAATGGAAATTCTCTCCAAAAAAAAAAAAGATCAACTGAAGCACTAAATAGGGAGGAAAACAAAGAAACCTGTTTGTTTCGGGGTGGTGGGTTGATCCCAAAAGGAAACGCTTCATTTGTTCCTTTCCATTTGGCTGAAAATGTCCTTTTGCAGTTCGATCTGAATCAAGTCTCTGCCCAGGTTCAGGGTTTGGATGCTGAAGTGACAAAATGATTATTGGGGTTGGCTTGTGGGCAGCACATAATTCCTCACCGCTTCCAGAGCAGGGTTCGTGTGGTGCGAGCCCCTGGAGTGGGGCAAGCTCACGTCCCACCGTCCAGCTGGGGGGTGAAGTTAGAAGACCTCTGGGCAGTAGAGGAGATGCTTCTTCTTGCTTTCAAGTGCCAGCAAAGTCTGATTAGACTGATTGATGGGCCCAAACGAAACCCAAGACCTGTGTCTCCTCCCCAGAAGGGGCTGGATTGCAAACTCTCGCTGTTGTGAGCTCAGCATCCGGGGGTGTATCTGGGAGATGCAGTGTTCAAACCCCCTTTGATCCCTGCTCCACACAACGTTTAAAAGCAACTTCCTGGGAGCAGCAGCAGCGTTTCTATTCAGGCAGCAGTGAGGGAGTCACTCCACTTCATGGCTTGTTATAATCCCAATTCCTTCTAAACACTTCCTGTTAATGACAATTTTTTCCTTTGTTAATGGTCATGGTGTTCCATTAATCAAGCTAACCTTTCTTCTGCAATTCTGCTGTCCGTTGGCTGCTCCTGGTCCTGTAGCTCCTGTTTCACAGCCCTGCAGGCTGTTTTTAACGCTAGCTAAAAAAATTCATTCAGGTGCAGAAATGTTAACTCAGGTGACCATTAATTAGCTTGGTGTGGAAATAGCTTTCAGTGAAGCATTGGCTGTATTGTCAAGGTATTCAAGAAGGCTGGATTTTATGACACTGAAAGAGAGGTGCATTTAATTTGCTACAGGGCTACAGAAACAACCTCTTTTGATTATATTCCCCTCCTTTATTGTGTTTTTTATACATGCAAATTAATCACAGAGATGCGGGTGTGAAGGGACCTCAGGAGTCACATCTAGCCCAACCCCCTGCTCCAAGCAGGACCGGCCCCAACTACATTATCCCAGACAAGGCTTTGTCTACCCAGGTCTTCAACACCTCCAAGCATGGAGAGTCTACCACCTCTCTGGGTAGCCTGTTCAGTGTTTTACTACCCTCCTAGGTACAAAGTTCATCGTAATATCCAACCTCAACTTCTCTTGCTGCAGCTTGAGCCCATTGCTCCTTGTCCTGCTATCTGCCCCCACTGAGAACAGCCCAGCTCCATCCTCTTTGCAGCCCCCCTGCAGGGAGGTGACGGCTGCTATTCAATCCCCCTCGGTCGTCTCTTCTGCAGACTAAATCAGCCCACTTCCCTCAGCCTCTCCTCACCAGTCCTGTCCCCCAGCCCCCCAACCATTTTCATTGCCCTCCACTGGACTCTCTCCAACGTGCCCACATCTTTTCTGTAGTGGGGGGCCCACAACT